GGGGGCCATGGTCAGCGAACTTGTCGATCGTTTCCTCTATGGGGGGGCAGCGACGAAAAAAAAAGATGAGCCATGACGACGCAGAGCCAAATGAGATGAGGGAACGACGAACGAAAATTCAAAGGTGTGGGGGGGCATATGCATTCCACATGCATTGCGACGAGGTCGCAAGACTGTCCTTCATAATCGTGGACACGACGAACTTGCCACGTAAGAAGTCGTCGATGGGGTGGCATGTCGCACTGCCCGTGGCCTGAGGCTTCAACTTCACGCCAGTCGCAGCGTCGATGGAGATCAACTCGTACATGTTCTCACCCAAGGTGTCGCTCGCCAAGGCGACTTTGGCGCCAACCTCAAACCCCTTGTCACTGAGCTTGTCCACTTGGTTCGACCACTTGCCCGAAGCGGTGTACTTATTCACATCTGAGCTACGCGCCTGCCCTGTCACGGCTTTGGATGCGCTCTCGCGACCGATCTGCTTCCATGGGCTAGCAACTGCTTTGCCAACGTGCGTTGCCAACGCAGTGGTGAAGCTGGCCCCGATGTCATTCAACGTCTTGCAAGTGCCTAAGCGCTCATCGGGCTTGTTGAACACGAAATGAACTACGCGAACGTCAGTCAATCCCACGATGGTGCCGTAGGCGACCGTGTCTGCCGCGATGCCCTCACCGCATGCGATATGTCGCACTTTCTGAAGAAATTCATCGGCCACCATTACAATCGTAGACTTCTTATCGCTCGACAAGGCGGTCACGTCGCCTGGCTTCAAAAGCATCTGATGGCCATCCCTCGCGAACTTACCCGTCGCACATGTCATCGCCTTCATGCATGCGAGCTTGAATGTCGCAGCGGCCCCCTCATGCTTGATCTGCACCTCGGCGAGAGACTTCGCCATTGAACCCGTGGCCACGCACTGGGAGGTCAGCTGCCGCGAGAAGTCGCGAAGCTCGTTCAGAAAGATCGGGTTGCCGAGGCCGCCAGACAACTCCTTCACATATTTTACTAAGCCATCGATCTCCCCAGGAAAGAGAGAGCCTGCGCGAGTCGCCTCGCGGATCACACTATCCCAATCGATCATGGTGCCACCCGTGTGGTGTCGGTTGGCAATTGCTGCGATCTTGTACATGAGACTCATGCGAGATTCGCATCTGGCAATTTGTTGGCCTGCATTGCCAGCCTCCTGAGCAAGATTACTAATCCACGGGAACTCCTTCACGAACTCGTACCGAAAGACCTTCCACTCAATTCCTTCGTCACACGCCTTAGCGTAGTCTGGTTGAACCTCCCGTGACCTCGTCAGTGACAATTTCCCTTGGTGCGAGATTCTGTCGAAACGCTCTGGCATGACCGTGGGTACTGGAACCCCTGCGTTGATGCAACGCAAACCCATGGATGTGTGGCCGCACGTATAGGATGCGAACTTTGCATCGCAATCATACTGCGGCAGCTGGCCCGCTGAGTCCTCCATTATTTTGAAATTGAAGTTCTTGGTTGTATTGTACTCAGGCGTGCCCACTGGTGGAAGTTCCATGCAAGCTGGATTCTGGAGGGCTGAGTTCTTGAATCCATTTTTGAAGATCTTAGAAATCAAATCCATAACCTCGCTCGGAATGATCCCATCTCCGTAACGATTCTCTGTGCACACCATCATATACTTCGAGTGTATTTTTTCTACCCTCAGGCAGTCTATGCCTCTTGCAATGCTGCATACGTCTTCAAGTAATGAGACCACCGCTGCATCAGGATGCAAGTACATGTCCTTGATGGCCATCATCTTGGGGCGGACCTCCGCGATCTGCTGTTCACGGGAGGCGTTCATCACGCCGCGTGCAGGAGGACGCCACAAGCGCCAGCAGCAATCCTCGCCCAAACGGCTGGAGCCCAAACTCTAGTGACATTCAAAAACATGTGCAACAGAGGGTTGCGAATTCGAAATGATATGTTGCATTTGCAATGCACAACATTCTTGTAACGCTCGATACAATATTCTGAATGCGTTCGCACGCAAGTCTGGATCATGATTTCCGATATGCGTGATCCCGAAAATCCAAACACATGCATGCGTTTCTGGAGGCAACATCCAAGGAAAACCCGATGCAGCAGCTCTGTTTTCAAGTAAGCATGTAAAAGTTAGCGAAGTTAGCAACTTCGCTAACTCAAGCTATCTACCTCCAAATGCACCGCCCGAGTTAGCCGACTTAGTAACATTACTAATGGTTATAACTTACTTGCAACCTAGTTGCAACTTACTTATAACCTACTTACAACTGCTGCTAACAATTAGTAAGGCCGAGGGCCTTCAGGCACTGTCCCCATCACCACCGTCCCCACCACTGTCCGCACCCCCCCTCGGTTTTCGAGGGGGGGGGGGCGGGGGGGTTCGAACCGGTAGTGACCCCCTCCCCCGGTTTTCGAGCTCGAGGGGGGGGGGTTCGAACCGGTAGTGACCCCCCCCCTTTTCATGATAAACTGGGGGGAGGGGGGGAAAGGATTCGAACCGGTAGTGACCCCCGTCGGGTTTCCAGAGGGGCGGGGGGGAGGGGTTCGAACCGGTAGTGACCCCCCCCGGTTTTCCGCCAGCAGCGGTAGAACACGCACTTTCAAACCACCCCCCCCTTCGGCGCCGGCGCCAGCTGCCGCCAGCAACGCCGACGGCGGGGACGCAGCGACGATGACCAGAGGCAGCTGAAGGACGGGGGGGGGTTCAACACCCCCCTCCCTGTGGCGCCGACGGGGGGGATGGTTCAAACCCCCCCCCCTCCCTGGCGCTGGCGCCGGCGCCGGCGCTGGCAGCGGCCAGCAGCGCCGGCGCTGGCGCCGGCGACGGCGGGGACGCAGCAACGATAGCCACCACTACCACCACCACCACCACTACCACCACCACCACCGCGTCAACCACCACCGCCACCACCAACCCACAACACAACCACAGCCACCACCATCACCACAGCAACCACCACCACCACAACCACCACCGCCACAACTCACCATCACCACCACACCCACAAAAACCCACCACCACTACCACCACCACCACCACAATCAACCACGCCACCACCACCACCGCCACAACCACCACCACTACCAGCAGCAGAACCCACCACCACCACCACAAACCACCACACCACCGCCACCACCACCACCACCGCCTCAACCACCACCACCACCGCCACCACCGCCTCCACAAACCACCGCCGCCACCACCACAAACCACCACCACCACCAAAAACCACCACCACACCACCACCGAACCACCACCACCACCACAAGCCATCACCACCACCACAAACCACCACCACACCACCACCACCACCACACCACCACCACCCACCACCACCACCCACCACCACCACCACCACAACAACAAACAACAAACCACCACACCACCACACAACCACAACCACCACCACCGCCACCACCCCACCACCACCACAACCCACCACCACAACCCACCACCACCACCACCACCACCACCACCACCACCACCGTCGTCATCGTCGACGCCCCCCGCCGCCGCCACCCGCCGCCGCAGGCGCCCGCGCTGGCACCGGCCCAAAAAACGAAATCGTCGTTCCCGCCGCCGCCGCCACCCGCCGCCGACGCAGGCGCTGGCCCGAGGAGAGGGAGAGAGGAGAAGTAGGGGAGGGCAGGGTGGGGTGGGGTGGGTCCGGTTCCACCCCCCCCCCCCAAGCGACCACAAAACGCGCTCTTTCTTATCTCTGAATGGTGTGTATATTCCAGCTCCGCCACAATGCCGCCCTGTAGCAAACTACCCCTGGCCCGTTCCGTCACATTCACAAGACAAACCACGCTTAGCGGCGGCCTCCGTGTCAGCATGGGCGTTTTCTCTTCGACGCTGCTGCATGCGTGGCATGAGCTGGACGCGGCGCACATCGCGCGCGAGAAGGCTAGCTGCAGCTCTCGCCCCATCGCCACGCGCATCCGATCTGAAAACTCTGCTCCCGCCGTGGCACGGCGCATACGTTTCGCTTGCCAGCTCGTCCGCGGCGGGGTCACGTGCGAACGGGCGAAATTCGTTTCCCGCCCAATCGATGCGCAGATTCTGACTGCAAGTGGCGCTCCCGCCCAGGCACGGCGCATGTTCATACTCGCCAGTTGAATCGGCAGCTTTCACCGAGGACAATCGTTTGGAGCCACGACCTCGCGAGTAGGCGCCGAATTCCGAAGGACTTGCGCGGCAACTTCTTATGTCTGAAAGCATGCAGCGCTGGGCGCGTAGGCCCGCCTGCGAAGCCCCTTGACGAGCATCCATTTTGGATCAAACAGCACCGCGGCCGTCGCCATTATTACCGCCAAGACCACAAAAAAACGAATGGTAAAATCATCATCGCGCTGAGAAGCTCCCAGCAGCAATCGTCGACAGCAGTTTAAAGCAAAACCGCCGAAATGGTCCCTGAAAGGGCCGCCAGGAGAGCCGCCGAAAGGGCCGCCGAAATCATCGCCGAAATCGCCGCCGAAATTGCCGCCGAAATCGCCGCCGAAATCGCCGCCGAAATCGCCGCCGAAATTGTCGCCGAAATTGCTGCCGAAATTGCCGCCGAAATTGACGGCGAAGTGCGAATTATCTTCGCACCCCTGGGGGCGACCTAAGTCACCGAGAGCCTTCGTGTGTTTTTCGGCATCCAACTCTACTTCGGGAGGGACTACAAGCTGGTAGGGCATGAACTGTCGCTTCGGCTCGTTGTGCGCTTCCAGGGCATTCTCGCCACGTGAGCTGTGAGGCCTCTGGGTCGTTCGAGCATGGCTCCTCCTCCTCCTCCTTCTCTCGGGGATGGACAGAACCCCCTTTAGTAAAACGTGGTTTAGTGAAA